TGGGGCAGTTTTCCTCAATTGAACCCTTCCTGCTTATAAAACTCAGGAGCCTCGGCAAAAAAAGACGCAGTAAGTTAACTATATGAGTTTCCTTAAAAAGGGTTCCAATTTGTTGTAGATGGAAAAGCTTTAAAAAAAATCTAAAATTTCTACAAAAATACAGGGTGTCCCACGAAACATGACACTAGCAAGACGATCTGAAAGTCGTCTTTCAACTTTGAAGTTATTGGTGACATTCAGTCTTCAACCTTCTTTTACATGTATGATTCCTGAAACAATAACCACAAAGTTCGTCTAGTCCTGCCGTTTCCAAAATGTGGTCTGCATTTTTTGTGCATTCAATATTACCGGAGATATTAAGAATTTTGTTCAGATTTAATTTTTTTTAAATAAAACCAAAATTGTCTAATTCTGAAGGAAATTCATCATATCTCCGGAAATATTGAAAGCACAAAAAAGGCAGACCACAATTTGGAAATGCCAACACAAGGGGTATTTTGTGATTATTAATTCTAGAATTTTCCTCCTAAAAAAAGTTTACGAAAAAATGCTGCAAATTATTTCAAAGTTCTAAGACGACCTTCAAAATCGTCTAGCTATTGTCATGTTTCGTGGGACACCCTGTATATCAAAGAACACATTTTTTAAATGAACATATTTGTGTTGATCTTATTAATAATTGTTATACAGACCACTCCAGTTCATTTGAAGTATCTTGCCGACTTTTAGGCATTTCTAGATCATGTTGTACAGTTCAGACAGTACTACTGCCCATTCGTCCTATTACCCATCCGCTATACTGCACATCCGACCTACTGCAACATCCGACCTACGACAGCTGTTTATTTTTGTATTATTTGAGGGTTATGATAGGTTAAGAGAATTTCTGAACCGAGCGCTGCGGCTAGGATGGGCTAGGGGGCCGAGTGCCACGGCAAGGACAGGCTAGGTGGCCGGGCACTGCGGCCAGAAGTCCATCTAGCAGTTGTAAAACAACGTGCTAGAAGGTCGGCCGGATGGGCGTATGTCCAGAAATACACCATCCATCTAGACCTGCAAAATTCACTAAATAAATCCTCCTTGGCCCTCTAGTGAGCTTTTTGTGACCAAAACAGGGGTGAAAATGTAGGGAAGACCCCCCTCCCCTCTCAAAAAACGTTAACATAATTTTCGGATTCTTACAATTTTTTATACAACTAACTATTGCAAAGAAAAAATGATTTTCCATTAAATTCTTTTAAATTTTAACTACGATGGTGGGCGATTATATCAATATAAAGAAGACGAATTTTTTATTTAAGTTTAAATTGTTTACAAGCTTTTTAACAAGCAATTAAAGAGAAACTTTTTTAATGTAAAGATTCTTTCTGTTTCCATGTATATGTGTGTGTGTGTGTCCATGCTGCAGTTGAAAATCTTGATATAATTCAAAATTAAAATCTAAAGTCGTCTTCGTTTTATTGATATAATCTTCTACCACCGTATGTGAAAACATGTACTTTTGTAGTAAGTATCTATCTATCTATAATTATCTATCTATCTGTCTATTTCTGCAATTTTATTAATATTTAAATTCTTGTAAGAAGCCCAGAAAAAAAACCAGAGTTTGAATATAACATTAGTTTATATACGATTTAAAAAAATTGTATTTACTTCCATACTTTAAAAGTGGAAAAGTTTGTCAAAAAGGGAATTTTTGTTGGCTCACCCTGTACCCTGTAAATTCTAGATCGTGACTTGAGATTAAATCGTAAAATTTAGCGAATCATAATCTTATTATTATTCAACCTTTATTCAATACAAGGGTTCACCTATACTGTTATACATTCTTGCAAACATTAGTAATCAATCCATTCATTCATTTCATATATTGCAGCAATAAATTCATCCATTCATTCCATATATTGCAATCATCAATTAATCCATTCATCCTATATATTGCCGTAATCGATTCATCCATTCATTCCATAAATTGCAGTAATCAATTCACTCATTAATTTCATATATTGCAGCAATCAATTCATCCATTCATTCCATACATTGCAGTAATCAATTTATCCATTCATTTTATAAATTAAAGCAATAAATATTCAGACATTGCAGAACTTATTTTTATAATAAGTATTGCAGAAATCGATTTATGTATTTTTTCTAAATTTTCAGAAATACATTTATACACAGTTATGCCAATTTTTAATGAATTATTATAACCACAGTAGTCAATAATTACATTCTATCCAAGAAATGCAGAAATCAATCATTCCTCTGGCATTAATAAAATTAATTCTTAAAATAGATCAAAAAAATTTTAATTCTTTTATTTTTTTCCAAATAAGATTGAGGGTTTTGCTATGAAACAAATTTATAAAGAATTAAAAAGAGTGTTTTACAATATATTTTTACATCTAGAATCGGTATTGTAATTCATTTTTACGCATTTGCGTATTTTCTCTGATGGTCACGAAAAAATTTAAATATTAATGCTCATATGACTAATTAAACATTTAAAGCACAATTTTACATTAATTTCAACACGAACTATTGGTAAACATTACCCTGTACGTATAATGTATATATGGTAATAAAAAAAGATCTTAATTAAATGTTTTATGGTTATAAGGTTTAGAAGGTTTGGTCGAAATTTCGATTTCTGAGATAAAAGAGGTATGTTTTGCTAGGATAAAATCATAATATAGAGGTATACTTTTTTGGTAAAATTGTAATTATTTTGAGGTAAATGTATATTTACTTTTTAGGAATTAGCTTAAACCAAAATTTATGTCTATTAAAAGGGTTGAATTATAAATATATGAATTAATGAAATAAATGGATTAGAGTTCACTGAAAAAAAATAATAAAACATTTAAACTGCTTAGTAGTTTAATTCGTTGTTTCAAAAATTCAAAATCGCCACAAGCTTTTAATTTTTTAGTAAAATTTTTCTTTACAACCTTTAATATTTAAAGTTGTGACAGTTTTAATAAAAATTTTAAAGAAAAGAAACACAATCACAAAATGGTTGAGGACGGAGTACTTCAAGGCCTTTAAATCTCCGTTAGCGTCGAGGACCGAGGTATAATTTTATAGCTGCACTTCTAGTGTACAATTGTACTGTTGTACTGCAATTGTACAGTTCAAAGGGACTAACGACTTTGTTCCAAATAACACTCCATTTAAATAGGTATGTGTTCTATTCACAACACTACCCTTAAAACCTTATCTGATTTACAAAAAGTATTATTCAATATATGAGTTTTGTCAATTTACTTCCTTGTCTTTCCTGTATAGATCCGCCGATTTTAGTGAGAACCCGGAATTAAAATCTATCAATTTTTATAGAAAACAATTATTTCTGCAGAATTTTGCTCCAGTCCAGCCAATCGTTTAAATGGTGCCGATGTTAATCGAGCGTGTAGTTCTTTAAACGGACGGTCATTTGAAATTGCGCCGACAGTACCTTTAAGTTTGATCTTGACAGTATATATTACAGACGAATTCCATGATACAAATGTAATTTAGCAGGAGAGCAGTCTTAACATATAGCGTCAAGAAATTGTGTAATTTTAAATCTTAATAACACAAGTACTTTAGGTACAACTGTACTGTGAAAAAATGTTTGCGGATTTACATAAATTTTATCACGTGTTTTCCTGAAACAGCTGACTCTATGTTTAAATCACGTGTTTTTCCGAAGCAGTTGACTCCATGTTCAAATCACGTGTTTTCCTAAGACAGTTGACTCCTTGTTAAAATGGTTTTTAAGCTGTTTTTCTACAGAATACGTACATTGTACAATGTACACTAATTGATGTACAGTTTCACTTGTTTAAAAACATATCAATGCTCTAATTCAGTTGTCGATTTAGGTAGAGCTGATAGAAGACATTATTAGCCAAAAGTAACTGATTGGAGACATTATCAGCTGGTCCAACTGATCGGAGATAGAGGAGTCAGATGCAGCTAGCTGATACCTAATAACCTTTTACCAGTTAATTACTGTCACTTAAAAAAATGTCACCTATCATTAATAACATGGAGATTTAGTTGCCGTTTTCAACTATCTCATGTGTTGTTTTCAGCTATATGCATGTTATGCTGCAAGCTATCTGTTTTCTCTCAACTATCTCTGTATTCTGACCCAGCTATCTATATTTTGTGCTCAGCTTTCTGTGTTCTGTCAACCTATCCGTGTTTTGTTCAGCTATCTGTGTGTTCTGCTCAGCTATCTGTGTGTTCTGCTCAGCTATCTGTGTTCTGTTAGGCTATTTGTGTGTTCTGCTCAGATATCTGTATTACGTCCAGCTATCTGTATGTTCTGCTCAGCTATCTGTATGTTCTGCTCAGCTATCTGTATGTTCTGCTCAGCTACCTGTATGTTATGCTCAGCTATCTGTGTGTTCTGCTCAGCTATCTGTATGTTCTGCTCAGCTATCTGTATGTTCTGCATCTTTATGTTATGCTCAGCTATCTGTGTGTTCTGCTCAGCTATCTGTATGTTCTGCTCAGCTATCTGTATGTTCTGCTCAGCTATCTGTATGTTCTGCTCAGCTTTCTGTATGTTCTGCTCAGCTATCTGTGTGTTCTGCTCAGCTATCTGTGTGTTATGCTCAGCTATCTGTATGTTATGCTCAGCTATCTGTATGTTATGTTCAGCTATCTGTGTGTTCTGCTCAGCTATCTGTTTTCTGCTTGGTTTGTTTTTTCGATCAATGAATTCTGATAATTGCCAAGAAGTTCACTTAGCCTGTCTACAACCCTGAAATATAAAAAATTAAGATTCTATCAATTATTTTTGAATACATTATTTGTCTTAATCTTAAACAAAAAGTTCCTTCTGAATTTTAAAATTATTAAGGGCTAAGTGTTCCAACTGTGGACTGTGGTTGCATTCTTATAGTGGTTATAATTATTCAAAATCAAAACAGGGCTCTCTTTTTTGTTGACAGTCTGATATTCTAGCATTATCTTCTAATCTTCTAGCTCAGCTCACCTTGGATATACATGGATGAAAACCTGTGTGGAAGGGGGTGCACCTCCTGAATTGACCCCCTTTATCCCCTTTAATACTTCACCACGTTTACCGCTGTCCAGGCACTTTAAGCATCTCTCTCTAGAAAAAAGAAAAATAATTCATTTAGAAACTTAAAAGGAATTGAGTCTTTGCCACAAAATTCGATTTTTAAATCCCTATATTTTTTGCAACCCAATGTCTTAGACCTTAGATATTTCAATCTGTGAATTTAAGTTTCAAATTTTAAAGCTTTATACCATCCGGTTGCAAAGATAAAGGACTAGAAAATCTGAGTTTGTAACAAAGCCTCTGAAAAATTCAGCTTTCTTAATTTAGAACTGTTTAACCAAGCTAAGAAAATTTTGTGATTCTACTGAGTTCCCCAAGATTTGAAGAAAATCGACCTGGTGGTTCCTGAGTTATGATCGGACAGACAAAAAGAGATTACTACTTTTTACATATAGATACACAGGGTTACCCGCAAAGGATTAGACGATAATGACGAACTGAAACTTTTGAAATATGAGGATCTGAAGGTTGAATTTGACCATCTGCCATTACAACTTTTGATAAATGATTTGGCAACAACGAAAAAATCACGTTTAAAAATAGGTGTAACCAAGGTAACCATGAGGTTGCATTAGCAAGGAAAGTTAATTGTGGTCTCGTATACGTTGCGTACATATTGAAACCAGTTCTCTCTGGGCGGAATTTGTAAACAAGAATAGATGCATCAGTCAGTGTTCGTCTAGTAACCGAGGAAGAGAAAAGCATTTAATTTTGAAAATTTTGAAAATTCAACTAATAGTTTCCTATCACCAGAATATTTCATAGATTGTAAAAATGGATTCCATTTCCATGTCAGGCTGTGACATCCGTCTTGCGTTTACTTTTCCGCCCAGAGACAGTACACTGCAGTACAAAAAATGCGTACACCTCTAAAATAACTGAATTAATACCTTGGATGTAGCCATGAATGAAAGGAAAACGGCTTGTTACATTCTTTAAAATCGTCTCTGAAGACTTATCCTTCAGCCCTGTACCAACTAATGGATTCCTTTATATTCTATTAACAAATTTATTTGGAAAGAAGTTCAATAAGGAATCAGCCACTGCCCCCTTTCATTTTCATAAACATTGAATACCATAAAAAAAATATCTATAAAAAGTATATTTAATAATTCTAAAAACGTATCCACCCCCAAAGTAGGAGTTTTGAACATCGAATTTGCGCTCAAACTCAGGATTTACAGATCTTTAAAAAGTTTAATATGTCTCAAATGAATCCGAAAGAAGTTTTCCACAACACTGCATACTCAGTTCAACTACCTTACATAGCCGGTCACTCCCTTTAAAACACTTTATGCTTACCTTCCAAAGAACTGTTCGTCATGCTGCGTAATTTGTTTGAACAAGTTCAACCTTGAACTGACGGGTTCATCATTTCGTTCAGCTGCGTCAAGATCTGCGTACAGCTCAACAAATATTGCGTATCTGAACAAACATTTAAATTAAATGCGTTCATTATCTCATATTTATTTCATTATTACTAAACTATTATTACCCCTAATATCATTATTATCAATTTTATTATTATTAATATTATTATTATTACTATTATTATTATTATCATTATTAAAATTATCAGTGCTAATCTAAATAACCCGGAATAATAATAATTGATTGAAGATTTGAAAGTCGTCTTTGACCTTAGGAAAGGTTTGCGGCAATTATAATAAGTTACCAAATTTTAGCAATATTTTTTATGAAACAATAATCACAGAATATTTCTAGTCCAGCCATTTCAAAAATGTGGTTTAAAAATACTAGAGATATTAAGATTTTTGTTAAATTTCAATTTCTAAGAAAAACCATGAAAATATCTAATTCTGAACGAAATGATTTTTATTTGTCTGCACTGCACCTATCTGCCAGAATAGGTCTATCCTCACTGTCCCGCCCCTCCTCTATTGCTGCCAGGTAAAGACGGAACTCCGCCCACTTCTCTCGGTTCTGCCACGCCTCATCAACACTGCCCAGTCCCTGATAACAATAAAAGGATTGTTTACGTTATTTAAAAGGATCCTCCCTTAAAGAATCCCATTAAATCACACTAGTCCCCTTTAAGTTTTGTGGAAGAAAGATATAGAGTTAAATAATTTATGTCTTTTACCCTAAAAATGGATAATATTTGAGTTAAAAAGGACTGGCTATATGCCATTAAATAAATTATTACTAAACAGGGGTCACTTACATTACGTTGACAAACTTTATAAAAATTAACTATTATTACAGTGATAAGGATGATACCTTTAACTGATGATTATATTGTGAGCTAGGTCTGGATGAAGGGGGAGAATGTTTACTCCTGGTTGGACGGATAGGAGCGTGGTTAGTTCCTTCTGAGGAGGGTAGGGGGGCGGGCCCACCAGGCCCTTGGGGGTCATTCTCTGCTTGTAGTAAAACCTAAACAAACAATATTTCAATACAGACAGTTAGACCCGTAAAAATAATAATAAGTTCATTTTCAAGCTACTGCACACTGCACAGTGCACTGGTAAAACTATTTCCTTTTAAACAACATCAAATGGACATAAGATTCATTTTCATACAAAATCTCAGATGAAAGCTCCAAAAATGAAGGCGTGACAACCCCCCCCCCCCCGCGTTATATTTTGTAATATTTTTTTTTGGGGGGGGGGGAATTTGCATGTTCCCCTTTTGCAAAATATTTGTTGTTTGATATGTTTTGTGTTTGATATGATTTGCGTTAGATATGTTTTGTTGTTCTTGTTGCAAGATACTTTCTGTCGTTTGGTATGTTTAGTCAATTGTGACGATATGTTTTGTAGGAATTATGTTTTATTGGTATATGTTTTGTACGAGATATGTTTCGTTGAGATCCACGAGATATGTTTTGAATGAGATATATTCTGTATGAAATATGTTTCGTTGGGATATGTGTTGTACGAGATATTCTTCGTTTGGATATGGTTTGTACGGGATATGTTTTGTATGAGATATGTTTCGTTTGGGATATGTTTTGTGCGAGATATGCTTCGTTGGAATATGTTTTGTATGTGTTCCTTTATTTCAGTATAATTACAAATAAGTAATCAAATTTATTTTTAATTTCAAAGATAAGATTTTAGAATTTTAAAAACATTTATGATAATCTTTTTGATTAAGTTTGAACCTGTTTGTTTATATTCCAAATTACAGTACTGTGTTCTCTCAACTCCTCATTCATTTTATACTAGAATTTAATCTCAACAACTCTTTTCATTTCGTATAACTTCATTTTTTTATACAAATATCACTAAAATACCTCACTTTAACTAACTTTAAGATACATTTAAGCATTCTTTAACTCAATTTTAAATATCTTATTTTAGCTCTCTTTCAGATATTTACAATTCACTTAATGTTAATTCCACTTTAGTAAAAAGTTAAACTTGTTTTTGGTCAGATACATGGTAAAGAGTTCTTGCACTTTAACAAAGAGTTAATTCACTCGTTACTAAAATAGAATAAAGAGTTTCCGTGAAATACAGTAAAGTTACAACACTATAGTAAAGAGTTACTGTATTGTATCCTAAAAGTATCGATTTTATGAAAGTCAGTATACTCTATAGAGTCTCTAATGAACTCTACTCTCTACCAATATACTTCAGCTAATCGAGAGAGTATCAGACTATATAGATATTAAGTTTTAATAGAGAGGGAGGAGGGAAAGAGGAAAGTGGAAAAGAGAAGAAGTAAAGGGGAAATGAGGGGAGAAAGAGGGAAGGGTAACATATGGAAGATGTAGCGTGTTTGTATAGAATCCCTTCTTTTTAAGCGAAAATTTACAATGTACAAATTTAAACAGTACATGGTATTTAATGCTTTGAGAGATAGATTTTCTTCAATTTTTTGAGACTTTTCAGATTATAAAATGTTTTTTTTTCGAAATCAGAAGATGTAAATACATTAAAACTAGAGGTTTTGAGGGCCTTAGAATTCAAATTTCAATTTTTAAGTTGAATATTTTGATCATGGTATTAACATATTCTATATTTTATATTCTCATTTTGGATTTTCAAACCACACTATTGCCAATATCACAGTTTAAAAATAAAAGTTTAAATTTTTTATTCTCATTTTGGATTTTCAAATCTCACTACCGTCAATACCACGTGTAAAAATCAAAAATAAATTTTTTTTTGTAAAGAAGAAAAGATAAAATTGCGTTCAAAGCATATCTTTTAAAATTACTTTTGTCATGAATCTCACTACCTAAGAACTTGACAGTAAATACTTCTCTTTTTTAAACTAAGGCATTTTATACCCACTGAGGGGTGGCAGGGAAGACAGAGGGAAGGGATTTCAATATTTAAATATTCTTGAGAAACTAATATTGCAAACTTAAGTAGATATAATTTCGATATTTAAATATTCTTGAGAAACTAATATTGCAAACTTAAGTAGATATAATTTCAATATTTAAATATTCTTGAGAAACTAATATTGCAAACTTAAGTAGAATAATTTCAATATTTAAATATTCTTGAGAAACTAATATTGCAAACTTAAGTAGATATAATCTCAATATTTAAATATTCTTGAGAAACTAATATTGCAAACTTAAGTAGATATAATTTCAAAATAAAAGATTTGCAATAGAAAAATTCTTACGAACAGTGTGAGAGCCAGAAAACAATGGAAGAGAAATACGACATTGTAGCAAGGTTTAAGTATATCGATGTTGTTGCAAAGCAAATAGTTAATCACTAATTTAGTGAAATAAGTCTCGAATCATGATCATTGGACTTTTAAATTCTAAAAGTCGTCTTCCTATTTCAGAGTTTTCTGGTTAACACTGTACAGCATAACATAAATGAAAGTTTTGAATCTTCATGAGAGAAACAATCTCAAGAAATATATTTTTTTTAAATGTGAAACTACTTTATTAACTCCATGAGGTTTGGTCCATCATCATCACAGAATTTAAAAACTCGCCTTGTTATTATTATGAAGAGTAAGTTTCTGTTGAGAAAATATTCCCAGTCTTTTCTCTTCTTTACTAACCCTGCAACCCATACTGGTAGTTTATCTAAAATATTACTATTATCATTATTATTATTAATACCTGNTTTTTTTTATATTAACATTATTACTTTTATTATTACTATCATAATTATTATAACTTTTGTCATCATTACTATTATTATCATTATCATACATTATGTATGTTCCAAAGGTTCACATATTTCAAGAGTTTGCAGGGACCAAAGCAGAGGTGGCCTTATCAAGTCGGGTTAATATGTGCTCAAGTGTTGTGCAAATCCAAAAATTGCATCAATATTTCGTACATCTGTACGTTTCTTCTTCGTTATTGATTGCCAGACACTTGATGGTAGAGAAAATTTAAAAAATTTTCTTTTCTTTTTTTCCTTTTTTTTAATCTTTTCATAAATTAAAGAACTAAGAGCCAAGAAACCTTTTTTAAGATTTATGTTTGATGATATGGAAAGAGCCTGCAAGGGAGTAAAAGGTGTAGGTGAAAACAGCCAATTTGTTTCATCCGTTTGACCAGCTATAGCTTTTTTTATAAGACGTGAGTCAAATATCGATTCTTTTTATTAATATTATTATCATTATCTTTGTTTTAAATATTTTTAGGATAAATTACTATTATTGATATTATTTTGATAATTCTCATTATAATGTAATGATTACTATAATTTTCATTATTATCAATTCTTAAATTTTACCTTTTTATTTTATTGCATAACTTTTCACACAAGCATAATAAGGTTCTGAAAAAAAAGTTTAATATTTTTTAACAAGACATAGGATTTGAGATTTTCCATTGAAATTGAAAATTCATAGCAAATATCTTTTTATGGACTAAGCACATTATGAAAATCCTTTGAATAAAATTCAAAATACTTTTTTATCAAGTAATCTTTTTAATCACTGCAATCATATTCAAACCCAGTCTATATTCAGACGGAGTATTTCTTTGTATTTTTAATTTTTTTGAAAGCACTGTAGGTTGCCGGAAAGCGCCTTTCATGTTTCTTTTTCTTGCCGGAATGCAGTGTGCTGACTATGAAAAGTTTTAGGTTGAATGGGGGACTAATTTTATAAAGCTGAGATATTTAATATTCAAACCATGTTTAAACATGGCTTCACATTGAACATCTATTATAACAGAATATGCATTTAATTGAATGGTCCTTTTCCAGTTCGTTCAATTTAGAAAATTTTCATGTTTCTCTTTTAAAAATCTATTAGTTAAAAATATGTTTTGAAGCCAGATTTTCATATCGTTGAGTTGGAATGTTTAACATAGTGTAGACAATAAATCTGTCATAACATCATTTTCATTCCCCCAGTACTTTTCTACCCAACCCCTTCTCTTTCCTCCGGTCCTTCTCTTTACTTTCCTACCCAACCCCTTCTCTTTCCTCCGGTCCTTCTCTTTACTTTCCTACCCAACCCCTTCTCTTTCCTCCGGTCCTTCTCTTTACTTTTCTACCCAACCCCTTCTCTTTCCTCCGGTCCTTCTCTTTACTTTTCTACCCAACCCCTTCTCTTTCCTCCGGTCCTTCTCTCTACTTTTCCATCTGATCATACCCCTCTCTTATCTGCCCTCCTCTCTACTTTTCTATCAATACCCTCTCTTTCCTGCCCTGTCCCTAACACTTTTTCTTTCCTCAAATCCCTCCCTCTCCACTATTATTACTTCTCTCTATTCCCTCATATTTCTCCCTACCCCTTCCCCCTGCAGCCTCCTTTCCTATCTGAACATCTGTTGATCCTTCATCATATTTTAATATATTCCACCTGTGAAAACATATAACTTTCATACAGGGTGTATAAAAATATGATAAAAACACGTGGATAATTGAATTGAAATATATGCATCTACAGCATACACTCTACACTCTACAGTCATCGACAATTATAAAAAGATTGTCAAATTTACCGACTTAAAACTAAATAAAAAGCTAGTTTTCCAAACACCCTTGATTTTATTGCACGTTTTTAAATTACAGAGGTTTAGAAATTATATACAATTTTACAATAATGCAAAAACTTAATGAAAATGTAGCTAGGTAGCTAGGTAGTTAGGTAGTTAGGTAGCTATGTAGCTAGGTAGCTAGGTAGCTAGGTAGTTAGGTAGCTAGGTAGCTAGGTAGCTAGGTAGCTAGATAGCTAGGTAGCTAGATGGCTAGGTAGCCAAGAAGATAGGTAGCTAGGTAGCTAGGTAGCTAATTAATTAGTTAGCTTGGTAATTAGGTAGCTAGGTAGCAAGGTAGCTAGGTAGATAGGTAGCTATAGGTAACCTGTAAACTGAATATTTGTTTAAAGTAAGGTTTAGGTTACAGTGAACATGTCAGAACAAGAGAACTTATAGTCAGGAGTTAGATTAACTAAAGCTTAGGTTACATACACAAACTTTAGGAGGGCAGGGGGAGATTGAAGGGGAAAGGGAGGGGGAGATTGGAGGGAAAAGGGGGAGATTGGAGGGGAAAGGGAGGGGGAGATTGGAATAGGGAGTTGGAAAGGAAAAAGATATGGAATGGGGGGGGGGGGATTTTGATTCATGAACACAGAATTAAATAAGGATAATTAAAAAAAAGGTAAAAAACAGTAATATGAACGAACTAGAAAATATTTTATTTAGTTTAATTAGATAAGAAAGAAAGAAATTTTCCTTAGATCATTATCTTAGACAAACTTTGTTAGTACACTTTACTGGGATACCCACAAAAAATGAGTCTTTTTGGCGGCCTGGAAATTCAAAAATGCCATTATATGGGTTAAATCATGTAATCATATTTTCTGTAACTCCATTATTGAGTTTTAAAAATCTCAATCTGTGTTGGTTACCATGAATATTTACATTTGAGCAATGTTGAGTTGCACAGGATGTTATCAAAACTTTAAAATGTCGGAAGTTTCATGACATTTTGATAAGAAAACTGGCGAGGTGCGGGTAGGGGGGAGAGGAAGGGGGAATGAATGTTCTACTACTAAAACTATGTCTGATTGTAATCAATGAAACTCTAAACCCAGAGATTCTTTGTCAATCCTTTCTATTAAATCTTTGAACGAATGAATTCCATTAAATCTTTAAACTAATGGAAATAGGAAATTAAATTCAGGGCAATAAGGTAGATGGGATGGAAGGGGAGGGTTGAAGATGCGAAAAAAAGGAATTAGGGGTGAATTAATTATGGATAAAAAAGTATTTAGAAAATGCCAAGGGACAAATGGGGCAAGGGCATGGAGAAATAATTTTTGAAAGTGCGAATAAAAATGAGAAGAAAAAATAATGAAATTATATTTAAACATACTCACATTCATTTAACGTTAACAGTCCCTTTAAAAATGAAATTAAATCTATGAAAGAGCATATTTCTCTGACGAGAAGGAAATTATGAATTTGGTGTAAAACTATCAAGTTTTACCGTTTGTAAAGTCTGTATGTGTACCGTACAGCTTATGCTGTGCGGCGGTCCGGCACTTTACTGTTTGTATAGTCTGTATGTGTACCGTACAGCTTG